ACGCTAGAAATGCTTTCTTAATTTGAGCCGTATTATGGCTCTTAATAGCACGGCGTAATATAAACTACCGGGCAGTCGTGAAGAAAAACAAACGCATGGAAAGTCATAAAAATGAAAATTTACGAATTGCCGTGTGTAGTATAAATATTAACACTAGTGGATATAATCGTAAACCTAAAATTACTTCAACTATATTTATAGTTAATTTTTAGCTCGATCGATGGCGCTAGTTGATATGAAAACCTAACCTAAAAGTCAACTCACAGTTTGTCAATAAAAGATCTGTTTTTAAATGGAAAAAAGGAATCGCATTTGCCCTCGCCCTCGGAGTAGTCAATTAGTTATTTATAGCCTCTGTTTGGCTTCCCGTTTAGCCTGATTTGAAACTAAAGTATCGGCGGAAAGAAAAAGCACCGCTAAGCGCCGTCCGTACCACCCCGGAGCCTTTCACTAAACGCGCCAATATTTTCCATTTACATTTGTTTCCGCGCTTCTTTCGACTGCTTTACTATTATCTGTTTTCCTACCACCCTCATGCAAGAAGCGCCACTTTGGCACTTTCGCATTAACACATCACTCGCACATCCGCACGCGGCGGATTAAATAATATTTATTGCGCCTGCCACATGTTTATCTTCATTTTTATTTTTATCATTCACAATGTATTCAATTCGAAATATGTAGGTTTTATAAAATTTTCCTGCGGGCTTCTCTTTTTGAGGTATTTCCGCCTAAGAAATACAACGCAATGGGGGATATTATGCAATATATTCATTGAAAACAAAAACAAAAAGCACGCGCGCGCCGCAGGTATAAAAATGAAATAAAAATAAAACGCGGCACGAAATTTACTACGCGAGTACCACAGCACCACACCTTAGAGCCACGCCGCCACCACCACTACTTGTGATGCGTGTTGTCGTGTGAGTGTGTATACCTTTGGTATTCGGCCCAAAGTCGACGAAACATCGAATCCGCCTCGGCCGCCAACTTCCGAGTGAAAATATTGCAAAAGCGTAACGTACGACGACGTGGAAGTCGTTGATGGAATTGGGTGATACTCGGAAAACGCATTTAGTTATAAACCGGGGCCGCGCCGCCCCCGCATACGTACGTGTGCGCGACGCGGACAGCAAAGCTATAAACTAGCGCACATGTAGAAATCTAAACACGCAAACATCGTAATTTCATCTAATGCACAAACTTTGCCAGTTTGATAGATGCGGGAATGCGCGCGCGCCGCCACCACCACCGCTCGCGATTGTGCAAATTCGAAATATTCAAATTGCATTCATTTCGGTGAAAATAATAATACAATTAACGTAAACATATTTTGGGAGATATGTTGATTTATGCAAATTTTGTTTTCCTTTTCCATCTGTTTCATAATTCGCATCTAAAATTTATTGCGCATCGATTTTTATTATTAATATATTTAAAGTCTAAAAATCGGCAAACATTGAAATGCATTTCACATTGAATATCTGCTCAATTTGATGATTTATAATTTATAATAGATCGATATACGACCAAAGTTTAGTTGTAAATATTCAATGACCCTGTATAACATCTAAATTTTGAAATAGATTTCGTAAACTAAAGTTATTTAACTTGCATCTACAAATTCGGGGCAAACTTTGCACTTACCCTTTATACCAATTCCCATAAGACATGAGTAAACTGCCATTGTGAATAATAATACAGCAATATTTGCAAATTCTTATTCCTAGTCACGTAGCAAATATCCAAATCATCATTCGTGCACCACGGCGCGCTTGTCGAGTACAATCTGGCGCAATACCATAAACGAATCCGGCCTACTCTCGTAACTCCGACGCGTTCCCACGGCTTTCACATTTCATCGCGCGCGCCCCAATCCTTGAGCGTTTTTGAGCAGTTGAACAGGCGAGCAATTGAAGCGTTTGAAACCGTTGAAATACTCTTATTTTATGTAGATCCTTCGTTTTTTGCACTTGCAAGCAATCGGTAAGAAACAAGAAAAAATATAGGTACCTATGCACAAAAGAAGTTGAGGGCGCGCGTGCGCGTATAATGATCGCGAATGTGCTGAGACCTCTGAGAAGGGGTGAAAAATGTGTAATTATTTAGTGTTTACGAGACTCGCTTTGCATTCGAATACGCGCCGCGCGTCGCAAAAGTTGGAAAGTTCGTGCGGGGGCGCACGGCAGTCGACTCGCGACCGCCTTTTAAATGACACACAATTTCACATAATAATTGTAATTAGAGATTAAATCTTTGCTGCGACTTTGCGAGTAATATTCAGGACCACAATTAGTATCTCGGTGGTAGTGCGATTAGATTTGGCGATTTCCACGTGAATTGTAATTAGATATCGCTAAATAATAATTTCATGCTAATGATATAAGACAAACATGCTCGGGGTGAATTTCATAATGTAGTGACAAGTAAATCTAATAAAGTTTTTATTCAGTTATAAGAAGAAATAGTAAAATATGCATCATTCATAAAATAGAAAAAAGAGTTTGTAAAATGTTGAATTTGCTGCATTGAATTATTTAATCGAATCGGAAAAATCGTCAAATATATCCGCTGACGCTATCCAGCTATCCGGAAATTGCATTGGAAAACTTGCAACATGAACCAAACAAATAAAACGCAACCAACTATATTTTGAACATTTTCCTATAAGTGCATTTAAATTTTCCCTGCAGCTTCCTTTGCTCCTTGCGTCTTTTACGATCGCGTTTTATTTTGTTGCATTCTGAAAGTTTTAAATTCGCAAACAAATCATAAATACTCGAAGCACTTGCAGCGAACTAATGAAATAAACGGATGCGATAAAAATGATAACCCGGGAAAATTTTGTTCGAACAGTAAACTTGCACTGGAATTGTCTGTTTGGTATTCACACAGCCATTACTAGAAACACATTTTATGACGGGTACATTTTTACACTATGTAAGAGTAAAAGAATATGACACGTGCAGAACAAACAAATAACATGAGAGCACTGTAATGAGCTAGCTGACCTAGAAATGCGCGGCTGTATAAAACAATAGTTTTGTTTTGTTGGAAAGTTGCTAATAGTTAAAATGTTTTTTGTTTTTCGTTGTGTTTTTTCTCTTTTGTCTTTCGGCTTCGTTTTCATATTAATATCAACCGTTTTATTACGCTTTATACAGGAATGTGTATTCCGCAGTAAACATTATCATTGCATTTGTTCACTCTAGGGTATTGTTGAACTACTGTACATTTGCATTTACTAAACCTTCAGCGCACAATAATCACCATTGTAAGTACTTAACTGTGCTGAAGCTTTCAAGAAATGCGTATATATTATTTTAATATTTCTATCAAAAAATTGTTACTTGTTTAGAACTAATGGTCAGTAAAGTAATATTTTAATGCTATAATAATTTAGTTAGTTTATTTTTTCATCATGCATAAATTACAATTATTAATTTGGTAAAATGTACTTTTATTTTTGGTTATTTTAGTCATAACGTTGATGAATATAAAAAATTCCACTACAATGGCGATGAGTTTGAACTTTTGGTCGTGTAATCAGCTTTTTATTTTCATATACTGGGTATGTTAAATTATGTCGGATCACATTTTTTCCACTGAACTAGTTAATACGTTAAGCAATAATTTCCTCCGTCACCCTGGTTACCGTGAATTGTGAGAAGTAAAGCGTGGCGGTTGAAGTCGCCACCACCGCTACCGCCTCTCCGCTTTACGAGCGTTTCTCGCCGATCGCTGTTTCAAATATGCGCATATGTATTCTAAATGTATGTGCCGTAGTGATGGCACCCGGCCGCGTTGTGTTTCAGCGCGAATTCCGCACTAAAATTTTAATAAGCAATCGTTTTTTCGTCCGCTCAGTTTTACGGCCGCCGCCTGTACACGTAAACACATTATTCGTTTTGGCGCAAAGTGCTTACGAACTTGCTCGCTTTAAATCAAATATTTAGCTCGGCTAACGAGCATATATACTCGAGAACGCTAAACATGCGCAATTGTTATTTTATTATTTCTTGAAAGATGCTTTGTGCTGCCATACTTGTGTAACTCTCCACCGGAATGTTGTTGTTTGAAAGTTTACTGTTTCAATAAATAGTTTACTAAAGTTCTTTTAAAAGTAAAATGACAAAAATGCGTACTGTGACATTTTTTGCTCTTGTAATCAAAGATTTGTTGGAAATGAATCGGATCTCATCAAAAATGCATCTTATAAAAATGCTGATTGTCGCATTTTTAATGAATTGTCATATTCGGAATTACGCTACCCGGGGGTGTATAAAATCGAGAAGACCTAGAGAATCGTACAATCTCACACAATGCAAAGTCAGCTTTTACCGCTTCCAACTTTATCCGCGCTGGCAGAGTAAAACATACGGCAGTGTCTGTTCTTTAACATCCTCATACGGCCCGCGCGGAGAATTTAAAACGTTCCTGCAATTCTTAAAACTAACTTCTTGAAATACTCATTTCGCTACATTCGAAGCGCACATACCGGAGGCGCGCCGCCAAAAGCAGCACGAAACCGAATCGACCCCACATTGGCATTGGTATCTTACCCTCTCTTTTCGCGTACAATCTACAACGCAAAATGAGAGACGAATACAGCCTCCCTTTTCGTCATTTTATCGCCGTCGTTTTGTTATTTCTTTTTTTCCCTATCTACATCTGCCCTTCTCAGATGCTCGGCGTGGTTCGCGCCTGGCGGTAACAAAACGATGCGGCGGATTAAAGATAAAATTACTCCTTTTTTATTGCCCCGCCAGTATTGCTACAAGCACTTAAGTCGCATCGAGATACCAAAAGAAATCTTTATCTATTATGACGAATGAAATAAAATGTCTTGTTCCGATTCGTTCGGGAAAGCCCACAAAAGCCATCGGATTCATGTTTAAATGTTGCTTGGTATTCCGGAGATTTTATGGTGTTTTAATTGATTTCATTTTATTGCATTTTTCTAGGAAAATCTTAAGTTCTTTTTATTTCTTTTGTTGCAGGGGGAGTTGAACAACCTTGGTGTGTTTTGGGGACTAAACAATGAGGGTGTCGTGCGTCTGCAGTGAGGGATGAACGTCGTCAATACCAGGATTTCATTCAGATACGGTAAGTCAAGTAAATCTTTTTTGAAAAACCGCACTATTGTATGTTGCCTACAAATGTTTCAAAAATGCAGTTGGTATTTGGAGTTCATTTGACTGAATTTATTATTAAGATGATAATTGAAAGGTATTTTTTTCAAACCAAGCAAATTTGGATACAAAACTGAATTATATTCGGAAACACATTTTTCTATGCCGCAGGTTTTGAAAACAATTCATTTTATGACACAATGTTTTCCACGTCGTGTTTTCGAACCCAGCATTGTTTTCCACTTTTAATATGTAGTGAAACGTTTTACAACCAAATATAACCGTTGAATCAAATTGTTCTAAACGGACATTATTGGTTTCCAGAGTAAATAGGTTGTTCCTGACAATTTTGTGTAAAAGTTTGCTGTGTTTAATATTTGCAAATTTTACTAATTAAATTTCGTAATATTAACACTTCTCCGCTGGGTGCCATACAATAAGCGAAAGAATTTCCTGATTTGTAATTAAATATTAAATTTAATCATGACATTCGCCGCATTAAAGACTCCTTTGAGCTAAACCAAAATTATCAAAACCGCGCACGACTGCACGCATATTCCGCGCCATCATTAATATTTAATAAAACGCTTTACCAGAAATTTGGAAATTTATACCAAACGTTTACTTTTTCTTTTCTTGTTTGACATGGCGGATACTTTTTTAATAAAACTTATTACAAAACGGACCCAAAATATTATTTAGAAAAAGTATCATTCTAATAAAAATTTGATTATTAAATCTAATGGAAAAGTTCTATGAGAAGGTGTAAAAAGTCCGACATTTTACGATCATATTTATATATACTCGTACTTCACCTTCTTTTTTTTAAACTTGTGGCCGAGGTTATTATTCATCTGATCCTTTGCTTTGCACTTCATTCCGTTTTTCATGTGATTTTGAGAATGCCTGAAAATGAGAACCTGGTATATTTTCACACTCAAGAGTCACCCAAGAACGTCAAAAAGGTAATATAAAACAAAATACATAAAGTAAGCATGATATTTTGCAATATACAGAAAAGAATCGTAATGAAATGTGTGCAAAGCATTTTTTCTTTAAATTTCTGGATAAAAACTTATTTGTTTCAAAATATGAATTTGTCTAGAAGTCAATAGATCAATTACTAAATGACCTTCAAGTATCTGTCAAGTTTATCGAAATCTAACACGAGTTCCATTCATATAATAAGGAAAGATTACAACCCGCCCATTGGCGATTCAAAGTAGGATGTCATTGCAATTTGTAAGTTTCTACGTGCTACAAGTTTGATACGTTAAGCAGATGAAAAGCGAGAGTAGTAAGGCAATATAAGATTGTATATGTACGGCTTGGGTCTCGGGATAAATGTCTGACTGGGGGTTTCTTCGACGAGTTTTCGCTCGGCATAGTTCAGTCGGTAAAAGCGCTCCGATTACGACTTTATTACAAGAGGCCGTAATATAAATCTGCGGATGTGAAAAAGCCCACCATACTCACCCGAACGTGGAACACGTTACTTCGACGGCGATTTCTGTTTAAACCTAGCCCAAATCTAAATGCAGCACAAACCCGGGACCCAGTCGCAAACTTGCTTTTTGTGTCGCTCTATATCTGCAAAGCCGGCTCGCGCGCGCCGAGCGTTCATTGCTTCATCCTACGTCGGCGTCGCGCAAAACGAGTAAAATCGTGCTGCCCTTTTTGGCCCCAGCCAGACAGCCGAACGCCACCGTAGAAAGTTATAATGACGTGGGACGAAACTGCCCGCCAGGAGACTTCTATTTAGACGTCGCTCTCCCCTTGTCACGACCATCACCGACTTACTACTTCCCGGCTTCCCACCCGCCACCTCAAAAGCTTTGAGTTAGATATATATAACAAAACTATACTTCACGTCTAATCTGGTCCGAGTAATTTACTATATCTCAAGTATGACTTGTCATATATGCTCGGCAAGTGGCCGTCCCCAGATGTCAAAGGCAGCTCTTAGATTTATAACTACCCTTGTCGGGAGATGCTCTTGTGGATCTTGACTAAGAGCGGCAAGGACGAAGGGCGTGGAGCGTTGCGAAGCTCTTAAATCGCCCGCTCAATTCTATCATGATATAATTTAATGCTTGCTTTTAAGAAGACACAATTTTAATTGAAATTTATTTCCCCTTGAATGCGCAATCCCACATCTTGATATTTATTAATATTTATTAGTATCTGCGCTGCGTTGCGTGCGATTGTAAATTAAACGCGTTGCGTCGTAAATCGGGTCGGCAGGTGCGTCATTTTAAATCAACGCTGATAAAATCCACGCCCGACACGCATCGTCATCCTCGACGCAATTGGCGTTTCTAATTCCCTCGCATATTAAGCGATTTCGATCGTGCGCACAAATTACACCAAGAGGCAGGTGATTATCATTCTTCGGCCCATACCCTCTCTCTAGTCGTATATTGTGTAAACGAGATTGCCTTCGGATTGATTTGTAATTAGTACGCGCAGGAATCACATCCAATTCACTCACGTTTTAGGCATTAATTTATATTTTACCAAAATGGTAATAATAATAATAATAAATTGTCTAGTCAAGTTAAACAACGAAATCTAATCGAATTTTAACAAGTGTGTTGATTAACGCCGAGTTTACTTATTTCGGTTGTCTTGATGGGCCACTTGAAGTATTTGTTTGATGTGAGTCCGTCCGCATTGCAAGTATATCCTTGCATCTGCCGTCTGGGTACTTCACTTCGACCCTTTGCAAGGTTTGGACCGCGGCGCAAGGGGAATGATAGCCGCAAGTGTTGCGCACACTTGGAGGCGACATTCGTATATTCCGGAATGATCATGGCCGGTTGGTCGTCCCGTCCAAACATTATCTCTCGCCCATCTCCGAACTAATACACTCGAATCAGCTATCCGAGCGACTCCTTGCAGCCAGCCACGATAACTGCCAACGGCGCATTCGGATTTTCCGCGCGACTTGGAATACCGTCTAATCGCCAGCGGCTCGAATGTGCAAATACACAAACTGTAAATAATTGCAAAACACAACTGCACACACTGCAGCTGTAGTATACTCGTAGTTTCGTCCTAAAACATCGTGCACACGGATTATATTGCTTATATTGCGTTATTTATTCATGTAAAATAGTTTTTAGTTGCAAAATATTAATTTTACCTTATAGATAATGATGGAGTTGCGGTATATGTAGCGAGCGTTAATATTGCAAATAGTGATGATAATCACTTGTTTAATTTCGTGTAGTTATACCACTACACGAACAATAAACTAAAATACCACAACCACAGCTTAGCCATTGTCCATAAGTCGCATTAAGTCCGATTGAATCTGATTGGTGTTTGTATAAGTGTCCGAATGGAATTAGCATCCGTCCGGTTTCTCATTAAATAACATTCACCCATTCGCCGCACGCTTCAGACCTTTCCGCAGGTGAAAATGTTCACGTTTACATTTTGCTACTACGACAAGCCGGAAGTAATCCGAAATTGTTTGGGCGAATATTTTTCCATCCGATATCCAATATAATTTTCAATTCGACCGCACAAAATGCGCGTGCTCGCGCGCATTCTCGTTTTATTGTAAATTCCAATTTAATTGCGACAGGAAATTTCAATCTGCAGAACTTATTATTAGCCCACGTTCGCAAATCCAACTCGGTGTGTGTGTGTGTAGAGGCGCGCATTGCTTGTTGCGGTTTTCTGTTACAATTCGGCCACCAATTCCGGTTTCGGTTTAAAACAAACGGAAAACGGTTTCGAGATGTCCATATTGTGTGTGTGTGTGAGTGGGTGTATGTTAAACCCTGTGGCGTTTTCTATTTCGGTTTTACTACTCTTTTATCAGCGTTTCCAATTTATATTGGCGTGCGTAAGTTTATCACTGATTTGTTAATTATCAAAACCGTTCGAGCGTCCGACTTAAAAATAACAAAAATTTTTGCGGCAGGAAACTCATTTTGTAAACTCAATTTAACTTTGTTGTTTCTAGTTATTTTTGGGGTCTATATCGGAGAGATATTTCATTATTGTTTGTTTTCGATTGATTTTTAACTCTTTTTAGTTAATATATTTTCTATTTTTAGCGTTTTTTTTTGTTTGTTGAGGTTTTGTGGTTGTGGTACGTTTTTATTGGAATATAATTTAACCAACTTTACCTTTATTGCTTCTGGTATTGTTAAATAAACATTTTCTAAACGTGATACGAAATAGTAAACGAAAATCTTCGTCACCGCACAAGTAATTAAACATAACTTTGTGCTCGGGATCGGGTCCTAGACGTGGAGAATACCTGAGTCCCAAGTCCTTTGAAGCCCCGTCGGCGAATTCAGCCCGGGAACGCTCCGTACTTGATCAACCAACCGACGTTTTAATAAAAGCCCGTCGCGCGAATTCTTCTTATTTCTTACTCTTTCGCAACGCGACTCTCGGAAGCTTCACAGTTCGCGCGTTCTTACCGCCTCCTTATGCTCTTTATGCGGCTTTTACGTGCGAGCATTGTTCCTAATCACGGCGCGGCAGTGGGCGCATTGTTTCGTCTTGACGGCGCGAAGAACAAACGAGTAACGAACTTGAACGTGCGCAAGATTAAAAGCTCGGAATTCCCACGTCGTCAGCCTCGACATTTTCCTTGCGTGTGGTAGGTGTAGATATATGTGACACAGACGAGAAGCTTTGACGTCCTCATCCCCAACATACAAATATAGGTATCTTAGGTATGATAACAACTCGCCCAAAACTTCAACGTGACAAACAGTCGAAAAACATTCACTAAAGCGATTTTAATCAAGAAAAATTACCAATTATTATAGAATACACAAAAAATTAGTCAGTTTCTGACAGATAATACATCATAGTCAATCGTCAACATCATCCTTGTCATTATCATCATCTGCCGACGGGGGTATAAATAAAAACACTTACAATGCGGCTGAAATAAGGTTATGTTGCGCGTCCTTTGCGCCGTGGAAGTGCCCGAGGCATTTCGCT